AGTGCTGGGATTACAGGCTTGAGCCACCGCGCCTGACCTTCTTTTTTTTCTTTTTGAGATGGAGTCTCTGTCACACAGGCTGGAGTGCAGTGGCTCAATCTCGGCTCATTGCTACCTCCACCTCCCGGTTTCAAGCAATTCTCCTGCCTCAGCTTCCCGAGTAGCTGGGATTATAGGCACCTACCACCACACCTGGTTATTTTTTGTATTTTTTAGTAGAGATGGGGTTTCACCTTGTTGGCCAGGCTGGTCTTGAACTCCTGACCTCAGGTGATCCACCCACCTGGGCCTCCCAAAGTGCTGGGATTACAGGCATGAGCCACAGCACCCAGCCTACAGTGTTTTTTAATTTTTTTTTTTTAAGACAGGGTCTCACTAGTGCAGTGGTATGATCATAGCTCACTGTAACTTCGAATTCTTGCACTCAAGTGATCCTCCTGCCTCAGCCTCTTGAGTAGCTAGGACTACAGGTGCACACCACCATGGCCCAGCTAATAAATTTTCATTTGTTTTGTTTTGTAGAGACAGGGTTTCCCTACATTTCCCTGGGCTGTCTCAAACTCCTGAGCTCAAGCAGTCCTCCTGCCTCAGCCTCCCAAAGTGTTGAGATTCCTGATGTGAGCCAGTACACCCAGCCCAGGGCAGTGCTTTACAGTTTGCAAAGCACCTTTGACATACATTATAGCATTTAATCTTCAGGGTGGTTCTGTGGGGGATTTCTTCATAAGTGATGATAAAGAAACAGACTAGAAAAGATAAAGGTTTTGTCAAGATCACACAGCTAGTTAGGTACAGAGCCCATGCTTGAACACTGGTCCTTAGATTGCAAATCTATGTCCTTTTGTCGACACCAGATGACCAGCCTAAAAGCCAGTAACTGCATATTACTTACTATCTTTTTATTTATGTATGTATGTATTTGTTTTTAGAAATGAGGGTTCACTATGTTGGCCAGGGTGGTCGCAAACTACTTATTTATCTTGAAGAGTTCTAGTTACTCATACTTGCAGAGTGTAAGTTATTCATGGATAACCCCCAAGGGATAGGGGGCATTTTTGTTGAAGTCACAGAACCCACAAGGATATTTTTGAATACTACAGAAGAAATCCTGGGAATGGAGTGTGTAAATTGCTTTGCGTATTATTGGAAAACAACCCCTCCTCCTCCCACCACTCTCTATCCAATTAGATGCTCAAAATAATGCCCATTTATTCTCCAATGAGTGCTGTCAGGGTTCATCCCTTGTACCACGGAGGCAGACTCGTGAGCTACCCTCCTGAGGGTCTAAACAGCCCTCATTGTTGCCAGTTAGAATTTTGTCTTTGTGTGAGTGCTTCCAAGAATGCCCCAGGCCTGGACTCCTTGCTGGGACCTGGCAGTGCAGGTGATGCCTTGTATTTGTTGAGCTGGCTTTTTATTTCCTCCTTGTGGAAAATGAGAACCATTTTCTAATACATCCTACTGTGTATTGTTGCCATGGGTGATGAACGATCCCAGGGAAATGGCTTTGCTAAGGGACAGGAACTGGCTACAGTTCAGCATACATTTCAGTTGCTTAAATACTGACTCTGTGTGTGTGTGTGTGTGTGTGTGTATGCACGCACATGTGCAAACTAAAACTAAACTACAGTGCTTAAGATATAGTTCTTGCTCTCAGGGAGATTAAACTCTAGTTTTTCT